CCCTTGAAAAGGGTCAATTTCGCTGATCATGGAAATTACAATAATACCTATGGATAATGTAGAGGAGGCAATAGTAATATAGATCTGGATTATTTAAAAAGGAGGACATCCTTCCCAGGTCGGCAGGGAACCTTTCTCCTTGAGACACAGACTCGCTAACCCTGGTAGCCGCGGCGGTTCTGGGGAGCGGGCGAGGACGATTCTGTGGGAGGGAGGGAATCCCGAGGTTGGCGCCGGGGTTTGCGCGCTTGTTGGGGGTTTGCAGCAGCATCGTTGGGTTGGACGGGTTGGACGGGCTGGACGGGCTGGTGGTGAGCTTGGGCTTGGGAGTGGGCGTGGGCAGCGGAGGAGGAGTGGTGGAGGGTCTGCGGCGAGGAGGATGGAGCAACCCTTGTGGCCATATCGTCGGCAGAGAGAGACGTGATATTTATAGAAAGGTATATATATGTATGGATATATGAAACACGACACACAGGATACACAAGGGGCGGGGGCGGATCGGAGGTGTTCCTGTGCTTGTGTCGGGGGGGGGAAACCTGTGTCGGTCTCCGGCCGTGGCCAGTAGCAGCAGGAACAGGTGCAGCAGGTATCGTGATCCAGTTCCCCGTTCCCCGTTGGCGATGGGAGATGCGTCGGCGGGGGGTGGCGGATATTCGGCTGCCGAAACAAAGCGGCCTCGTGTGAGACAATTGTGGGAGAGAAGTGGGTTATAAGGATGTAAGAACAGAATAGAACAAGAGAGTGGAGAGTTAGGCCGAGCAGAGCTGAAGAGAAGAGAAGAGAGAGAGTGTGTGTGTGGGAGGCAAGAGGGTGGATTGGCAGCGGAGTTGGTGGAGTGGAGTGGAGTGGAGTTGAGTTGAGATAGGAAGATCGAGGATGTTGAGGCGTCGATATGGACTGAAGAGGACACGCACACACCGACAGGGACAGGGAGCGAGGCGGCACCGCCTGCTGATTTCTACTCTCCCACACACAGCTAGCACCACCTCTGCTTCCTTTTCTGCTTCCGCGTCTTCTCTTCGTCATCGACTCGGTGCTAATCCACGGGCTAACTGTGCTACCCCGCTAACCTTAGCCGGAGAGCGGGTCGCCGTCGCTGGTTGTGCTCGTCTCATCTCAGCATTCATGAAGCTATCCCCACCCCCAGCAGCCAGCCCCCGTGTTCTCCTCGCGGCCAGGAAGAGCATGTCAGCCGCGGCACCCGACAAACGATAAATGATGAGGGTTCTAATTTTGTGGTGTTTATTACGTCTCCCTTTGCGGGAGCCGTTGGCAATATTGAGCTCAAAGTTTCTATCTAGTTCTTCGTACCCTACACTCTCTCACTCACACCGCATCTTTGCGTATAACTTACACATACAGAGTGCCTCTTCCACATAGGACAGATACAGAACCAAGTGCAGGAAACCCACCAGTGCGTACGCGCAATAGCCAGACAACGGCACGCAAACACCCTGCCCTCGTCTCCTCAAACCCTGGCCGGGTTGCACGCCCGGTTGGGCCAATTGGCGGGAGTGGAACCTCGCCATCCCTTGGGCCTTGGGGGATTATTGGGGAACTGGGGATTATCCTCCCTCCTGCCTGTATGCTGCCTGCATCCGGGATCATTGGGGGACTGGGGACCCAGGGGGAAGGAGGAGAAGCAGGAACTAAAACGGTTCCAAAGCGTTCTACTGCATAAACACCCAGGGACCAGGCAGGAGGTCAGCAGGGCGGGCAGAAATAATATTACTTATTATTCTCGTCTATTATTCTTAACTGTCCAGTGACAATAAAAACAAAAAAGGGTCGAAAAAGCTGAAAATTCCTAATGGATTTTGTTCATACAGTCTAAGGCGCAAGCATCGGAAATTCCCGTCCTGGCAGTGACAGCCGGTTCTTGTTGCTCTCTTTTTTCTTCTCCGCCCCCAAGAACCTAAAATGCGGAGAAACTGGGTTAGAGTTCGAAAAGGAGTGTGTGTTTTGTTCCGAGAGGGGGGAGGCGAATTACACTAACTAGCGTTGGCTACTCCAAAAAAAACATAAGATGCATCACATACTGCCGTAGACATGGAGAGGTTTTAAAAAATTCCTTTATCCCTATTATTGTTTATTATTATTTTATCAGAATTTTTACTGCGTAGTATTCTGCTTTTGAAGGTAGGTATCACACCTTATACCAGCCCGTATACCTGCCCGTATACCTGCCACAGGAACGGTCAGGAACCATTTAAATCGACCAAGGTTAACTTCAAACGCGAAACTCAGAACAACATGTCAATAATATGCTCGCATATCATGGCTCAAACCAATCCAGCCATGGATGGGGTCAAAAAAACGAAAACCCCGTCGTTTTCAAGTCTCAACTAGCATCCAGCATCTAAGCTTTTCGGTTTTTGCGGTCCCTGCGGCCGCTCTCCGGCTCGCTCGGAGGCTTTCCCCTCGGCCACCAAGGTATGAATTACGGCGTACTCTTTCTCCCCTACTATGATTATTATGCTTTTCCACCCCCTGCAAGTCGCCGGTCCACAGCCAACTGCCCATTCGCCTTGGCCAGAATATTCTCTTGCAATAGCTTTCTTGCTCCAGATCCGGGCCCACCATCACCCATAATACTCCCCGCCCCTCCGGCTCCCGGCCCAGCCCCGGAAACAACACTGTCCTCACTGCCCCGTCGCGACACACTCGGGCTCGTCAACCCGCTCCTAATGATATGACTCCCTGCCCTCCCCCGAACCCCCAGCAGAAGCCCGCGCACAACACCGCCAGCTTGCCTTGCAGGTAACTCCCCCGTACCCGCCGTCAACACGTACAGTAAATACTTCAAATTCGGCAACGTATGCCTCACATCAATAACCCTCAGCCCCATCCGGTTCATCATATACTCGATATTCTTATTTAGCAAAAACACCCCGTACTCGAACCGATAGTGCCCATTGACCGGGTACAGCGGGAACGTGCGCTGCGGTAGCCCTGCGGAGATCGGGTCGTCGATCAACGAATGAGATAGATAAGGCCGCACTGGATACGGGAGGGGAACGGAGAGGTAGAAGGAGAGCAGGTAGACGAGGTGCGCCGTGTAGCCCAGTGCAGCCGCAATGCATTCTTTGTCCATGTCTTCGAAGGTCGAGTTGGGCAGCGCGCGGCTGCAGATGGTGAACGCCAGTGGCTTCTCCGGGATCGGCTCGATCGGGTATATCGCCTGCAGCTCCTCGCAGATCCGCCGTATCTGGCCCATGGAGTCTTCGGCTGTTTTCCGCAGGAGGTTTTCGCTGGAGGACATGCTCGATTGTGCTTCAGAAAGGAAGGACTTGGTCTTTTCTTGAGACGAGCGTCCGCGGGCCATAGCGGTACGTCGTGCTTCGAGACTGCGTTGGATCTCTTCTTTGCGTTGTTTGCTCTGCCGTAGTTGCTTTTTTACGGACGTGATGGTGCGTTTTACGGACGAGAGTTTGTCGACGGCTTGAGACCGGGAACATACGGTATCCAACGCCCTATGGTTTCTCTCGAGTATCGCATTTATTTGAGTTTCGAGTTTCTCCCGCGTCGCGAGGGCATCTTGAATACAATCATCGAGATTGGCAAGGCGCATGAGCGCATCGTAAGTTGACGTAGACTGTAGGCGACTATCGTCATGGGCCCTAGCATCAGCAGCAGAGGCAGTAGTTACGGGCGCTGGTAGCTGCTGGACAGGGGGCATATCCATCAAACTCGTATAAACACCATCCTGGAAGTGAAACACAACGCAGTTCGTCGGCAACGGATGATAGAAACTCTCCAACGTTTTTCCGACATACTGCAACGAGCGCAGATTCACTTCCAGCCTCAGCAGGAGGATATACTCCGTCATATCCTCCGTCCTCGCCCACACATTACACGTCACCTGATCCAGACGCGACACCAGCGGCCCGCAGACGTTCAGATCGAAGTGCTTGAAATCCGGATTCATCGCCCTCCCCACCACTTCGCTCACGTAGACCGGCTGATCCATGCCAGCACAATGTAGCGAGAACCACGAGTTCGCCATCCGGTTGCCAGCAATGTCCTCCAGTCGATGTTGTCGAATGAATGGACTGGCACCCGCCCAGCGTAAGGTGCTCCTCCGGCGAAGAATCTGAGCCTTGTTTTTTTGCTCTTTTTGATTTTCACTCCCAGATGTCCCTAAAGGTGAGGCTGCAGCTGCAGCGGCGGTAGCGTCTGCGGAGGAAAACTGATCACGACGCTTGAGGTCAGTAAACGAGCGTGACTGGGGGATGGGTGATGGCAATTCACGCATCGCCAGTAATTTAGTGGGGGACTGGAGGGCATTCGGAACACTGTCGTCGTCTATAGTCTTTCGGCTGGACGGCGTGTTAGGATTGACGGTGAGATTGCGCAAAGAGATGCCCTGGAGATGGCGAAGTTTGCGGTTCTAAAAAAAAAAAAGTATATTGTTTATGAGTACTACTATTATTTGCCATATATAAAATAAACCAATCTGGATATAGAAGGGGATCTCCAAGCTCCCCCAAATGGGGTTTCATACCGAGAACCATGGTTTCTGACGTCGGCTATCTGAGGCACTGAGCTGTTCTAAACGCGGGACAAGGTCATCTGCTGATCTGGAGAGAGCCATTGCTAGGAAGCATGCGATATGTGAGGCATAGATGTCGTCGTGCACTCGGCGGAGCCGTCATTCTCATCAACGTAAATAAACCGGGATGAGAAGAGCACGAAGGAGTAGACCAGCCAGACAACGCTGTCTAGGCCATGTCAACCTCGACGCGGTGAGTAAGCACCGTCTACGGTAACTAGTTCGTTGACGCCGATGTGGTTGATCTGTGGTTGTGGTTATGGTGGTTGTCGTTGTTGGCTTGAAGCTGAGCTTTGTCGTCTTCGTCTTGTCGATGGTTGTTTGGGCGCTCCCGATTGGTCCGGCCCCAGAACCAGGAAAAAACTTCTGATCCATGAACAACGAAAACAACCATAATCACATCCACATCCACCACCACGACGCTCGTCCCGCCCCTCGATCTCAGGGAGATCCTGACTACATCCCACTGCAGCAGGCGCCACAATGCTCTAGAAAACGATCAATTGGCTCTGCAGGAAAATTGATACAACGCACCGGCATCAATGGTCGCCGCGAGCACGGCCGCCAGAGCGGCCGCCAGATCAGCTACTAGAGCAGCGAGGGGAGCGGCAGCCAGTGCTGAAGCGGGTACCAGCTCCGGTGCGAAGATAGCCATTGCGAAGAAACCTGGCAAGAACTTGTCAAATCCAAAAATACAGGAGACGGTCAGCCCTGTTGTTGTCAGCTCCTGGGAGGCCCTTCGGTTTCCAAGAACGGCAAAACCCATCCAGGGCAAAGTCAGAGAAACTGGGTCCCGTGCTGCCCTACAATGGCGGACACAGGAGAGAGCAAGGCTGCGCAAGGCATTACACCGCCTGACGCATGGGAAAAATATATTCGCCTACAACAATATCCGAACGAATCAGGTTGTATATTCGTTTACGAGAGAGCTTGAGGTGAGTGGATTCTTCTTCTTCTTCTTCCTCTTCTTTTCCAACTATCTAAGAGCACAGTGCAGACGAACACCTCAACGAAACACATAATCTAACTCTGTAAATGCTATAGAAAAACAACGTTCTCTCCCAACTAGTCTACCACGGTAAGAAGACCGTACCCGCTACACTGCGCAAGGATATGTGGACCCCTTATTTCTCCCTGCATTTCCCCTCCACCTCCCTTGGCCTTGAAGCCTACCGCCTTCTCCGCGAGTTCTCCATGCAGCGGCAACTTGCCCCGCCCGCAGATATGATCACTGCCTCGCAAGACAACGAGGTGCTCACCCGGCAGCGCCCGCGGGACCCCGCCGAAGCCGAGAAATGGGACGAGGAATGGAAGATCCGCATGGAGCAGCATCAGTTCCTTAACAAAAAATTGCGCGCGCGTATCCTCATGGACCAAAAGGCTACAAGCGTTGCGGATGTGGCGGCGGTACTGGCGCTGCAGCAGCAGAAGATGAAGGAGGAGCAGGAGCGGGAGGCGAGAGAAAATGAACTAGAAGATGAGAATGAAGAAGAAACAGAAGAAGTAGAAGGGGGAGACGGCGAGAAGGTGAAAAATGAGAGCGGGAAGGTTGGCGATAAGGATAAGACGGGCAAGAAAATCAGCCGAAAGAGACGGAAACGGATCCAGGCGGCTATCAGAGCACAGCAGGCGCTGGAGAAGGACACCATGGACAAGATCGCCGAATTGGAACGCATGCTGCAGGTGAAAATCGACCCTTCGCTGCCGCCGTCGGAGCATCACATCGTCAATGAAGGCGAGGTCAAGATGTTTTGGGTGGATCTGCATAATTTGCAGTATGCCGAGTCATGGCCAAAAAATGTCATCCATGGTCAGCTGAAGCCTGTTCGGGGCCATATCATGGGCACCGAGCTTGACCTTGCGGCTGGTGAGTTGCTGGCCCTTGGCGGTGCTCCCGCCGCGAAGGGAGAAGATGGCGAGGGTGCGGAACAGGCTGGCGCTGGTTCCGGTACTTTAGCTAAAGCTGACACTCAGGCTGAGGGAGAGCAAGAGAAGGCGGATGCCCCTAAGGAAGAGAAGTCGAGGTCGGGTCTCGGGAAGTTGAAGTTCTGGTAGAAAGTGAACCGTTGGGGGAAAAACGGGCATGGGCATGTTTCATTCTTTCAATGGTGATAAACAAATGGTTATGTTGATAAAATGGATTGTCATTTATTTTTTGCCCCATGCTTCCCTTTATTTTTCCTTCCTCCCACTCTCATATTTTCTAACCAATTGTACCATTTCTATATCCTCGGGTTTATCTCTTTTCTTTTTCTTTTTTTTTTTTTTTTTTTTTTTTTTTTTTTTTTTTTTGGTCGTTTATTAAGACTTTAGATCTCTTTTTCTCCACCCATTTTTGTGTATTTATATTTTTTCTAGAAACCACAAAATGCTGTACAACCCTCACTTTAAAAAGAAAAAAGTTCACGGAATGGAGAAACGAATATTTCCCCTGAAGCGACAACAAGCGGATACGACAGTTGATAAGACCAAAAAACATAGATAAATATATTTACGGGAAATTAGACAATTCCCGAAATGCATGTCTGTTTCTCTGCTATGCAAAAGATAGTTATAGGGACATACCAGAAAAGAGTTGAAGGAGATCAATGTTTCCGTACACATATACAACATAACTATAAGATATATACAACTGCTGGCATAACCACAGTCCCACGGGGATATGTCGTACGTATGTACAGTACATAAATCACAAATGAAACAAGCACAAACCTTTTCCCCACCCCCAAACAAAAAAAGAGGCGGAGAGAAAGGGCGGGGGAAAAGGACACGAAAATACACGTTGTATAGCTGTTGAGGTCTGATGATTCTGCTCAGCGATGACGGACGGACACAAAAACATTATGTATAAATAAATAACCACTGATGCAGTGGTAGGCCCGGGCCCAAGATAAAGTTTCATTCATGGCCATGTCCCCATCCGTCCCCGATTGCCTATGATTCCCCTAAACCCCCACCACCCCAATCTACCTCCACCATGTATGTCGCTCATCACTGTGATGATATACAACATTCCATTTAGCGCCCAAGGAAAATGGTAGAGGGTAGATGACAGATCAGGGGAGGGAGCACAGGGAGAACATCGTACCGACGGTCGGAGTCTGATAAAAAGTCAACAAGAAGAAAGGAGAAACATAGAAAATGAAGTAAAAAGAAAAAGCCAATTCCCACGCGTTTCGCGCGATTAAACGACATGATATAATGATGAAAGCATGAACGCATAGAAGCATGAAAACATGAAGAAGTGAAAACATGAAAGACATAGAAACAAGGGGCTTGTCGCCTCCAGCATCCAGCAAATTCAGTTTCTTGTCTTTCCCTTTCGAATCTTGATCTCATCATGGTCGTCGAACTCGTGTCAGGGGAAAAAAAAAAAAATAAATAAATAAATGACAAAGGTAACAGCAACGAGGAAGGGGGAGAAAGAAAACGGACTTTCGCCCGCCAAACCGGAAGCAAACCAGCCATTCAATTAATCAACCCACCGACCCACCGAAAGCAAACAGAGTTATTCTCCGCCCTCTTTCTTTCCTTTACTATCCTGACCTTCCGCCAAATCCAAATTCGCAATATCAATTACTCCCTTTAGTTGCCCAGACGAAACTTCCGGCCCCAACTTATCCTCTACAGCAGAATAGGTCTCCACGGGCGTCGCGTTCTCGCTGTCGTCACCATTCCCCGTGTCTTCATCAGCATCGACGGTGGCAAGCTCAGCGCCTAGCTTGCCCGCGCGCGCCTTCTTCCGCGTCTCCTCGACGATCTTGTCGGCTTCGCTGATGCCTACAAGTTGCACTGGCGATGGGGACGGGCCATTGTTGTTGTTGTTTGTAGTATTGTTGGTATTATTAATATTGATGGAGCCGCCGCTGCTATCTGTCGTTGCTGGCGGCGCGAGTGATGTGCATCTTTGCTGTTGTTCTATTGCTTGCTGAATGGCCTTTGTGTCGAAGCGGACAATCATACAGGAGAGGTTGTCGGTGCTGAAGCGCGAGAGAGCGTGGTCGACGAGGATTTTTGAGGCGAGTTGTGGGTCCTCCGTGCCACGGATGAGATCGACGGCTTCTTGATCCGAGCAGACGTCCCATAACTGCAAAAAAAAGGAAATAGGTTAATTCAAGCAAAGGGGAGGAACAGGGGTCTAATTAAAGTTTGATAAAGATAAGCACTCACGCCATCGCAAGCCAGGATCAGAAACTCATCTGTTTCAGGCTGGATGACCGTCTCCGTCGTGTACGGGTGGCCAGTGACTAAGTCTTTCATGTACGAATCCCCCAACGCCCGAGTGACAGCAAGCACGCCGTTTACGCGGTTATTCAAGATTAGGCCTCCAGCATTGGATATTCGTTTCCCCTCGTTTTCATCACTGCCCTTGTGGTCGTACGATAATCGCAGCGCCTTGCCATTCCGGCACAGAACAACGCGTGCATCACCCACGTTCGCGGTATATAGTACACGCTGTCGAAAGACGGCCGTTGTTTCCTGGGGTTGCTTTTGGTTTGTAGATCCTGACACTGATAATCCTGACGGGTCTAGGGATGAAGATGTCTGCGCTGTGGACGACGGGTCTGTGCTCTTATTATCTTTTACCAGACCTTGCTTGTTGGGTGTCGTTAGGGAGGAAGATGGAGTCGCATTAGGAGAGGTCCCGGTAGGACGATCCTCCCATCGCAAGACTGCAGTAACAGCAGTACAACCACTGTTTTTCAACGGCAGCTTTTCTAATTGCTGATCCACACTAGTGAATGCCTGATCTAGCAGTTCTGGTACCGGAGTATTCGGGTGCTTTCTCATGATATCCTCCAAAATGAGATGCAGTTTTTTCCCGCACCACTCCGCTGCAAACGTCCCAGCATGTCCATCGAAAATGGCAAAATATCCATTGTCCGTTTCAACCATCGGTGGTGAATCGTCAGACTCTGTAGATGTAGGAATTGAATCCTCGGAATTATTTTTGCTGCGGATGGACGAATCGACTTTTGCAGGAGTTGGGGCTGCAGTTCCAAGAAAATTATACAGATAAGCATGTGTATCTTCCATAGTTCTTCGGCATTTTCTATTCCTGTCTTCAGTGACTCCAACCCGAAACGACGAGTGCGCAGTCGGCGCTGATTCACCGGCTGAGTTATTCAACGACCCTTGCGGAACGATCAAGGCTGGATCCATCTTCCCCAACTTCTGCATGGGTGTCAGGGCTTGCTGTTCCTTCTGCGACTCCCGCGCACTTGAAAGATGCAGGGAATATTTAGCGTTGGAGAAGAAGTTGGCAGCCTTGGTCATTGAGCTATTTCGGCGCTTTGGCTGTTCCGCTGATGGGCTTCCGTCCCCGTTGCGGGGCGACAGAGAACCACTAAGCGGGGAGGCTTTGTTTTCTCGGCCAGCCGTGGTATTTTCCGTGTTGATGGATAGGGTGGTCGAACCACTGCCGGAGAGAGGGGAGGAATCGTCTTTCTCTTTGGTAGGGCTCGTGGAGCCACCGAACATTCTGTTCAGCAACCCACCCTGGTTAGAGGAGAAGGTCCTCCGCTTGCTTCCTGCCAGCTTGACAGTCCAACCAAATGGCGAGCTGCGGTGCTGATTCGATAAAAGAGGTAGATGGTGGAGAAAAGTTTATTTTGGCTGATTTCCTTTTCTTTTATTTCCCGCCCCCCCCGTTTCTACCGATATTATTGTTTATTAAACGCTTCTGCCGGGTCGTGAAGCGTGGCCGTTGGGCCTAGTGTGAAAAAAAGGATTAAAAGTGTCAGTTGCAACTCAATAGTGCATATTTAGTGTAGTATTATCTAGCGATCATCCTTTAAACGAAGGAAATTGAACCGTCAGATTCCGTTTCCAGAAAGTTCAACCCTGCTCAAGTGTTCGTGGGATACCCGAAGTGATAATGACAACCGGCATAACAGGAACTTGGAAAGAAAGTTACCTCGAAGGCAATGATGACCAAACACTAGACTTCTCGCGGATATCGCGGAAATATCTCATCACCAGGTTTTCACCTAGTAATCCTAGTGTGGGAATCAACCTGGGTTAAATGGGAACGGAGGATATGCGGAGCGGGTGATTGTTTGTTGTCAAAGAGGTGAAGCAGGATTGGATTGTTTGTGTTGGTGGTGGTTGCTGATTGTTGTCTGGGTAGTGAACATAAGGCAGGGCGCCATGAATTAGTTTCTGAACATTTTACGAACTAGCACGTAGCAAGAGGGAGGAAATTATGGCAGCGCAAGCATTAAAAGTGAATTCACAGGGCAATCAATATTAAAAAGAGTGCACAAAGTTGGCGGCAGGCTCTCTATCTGATCCGTGGGTTGATGATTATGGGGACAGAATCGAGACCAAGAAGCCGGGGGCAACATAGACCGAACAAACAGCAAGGCAGACAGACCCCTCGCCGCAACGATGGATCGCAATTAGGGAACAGGGCAAATGCAAACAATTTGACACGCAGAGAGAAGTGAAGAGGAAGGGCTTACTTCCAGCCAGTTGCACAATCCTAGAGCAGGACGGGAGAGGGATCCGGCCAACGCCAACGATTGGAAATGGCCCGAGTCAACTGCGACGACGGGGCTTCCATGCAGCAACGGGAGGGCACAGACAGACCGCGAGAAGAGGAGGAGAGGCAGAAGCGAGGAGAGGTTGCAGCGGTGGTCGACGACTCTGCGCAGGAGCAGTGAGTCGTGGACGATGATCGCGGGCTTGGCCTGGGAGTTGAGCTTAGCGGGGTTGAGTTATTAATAGCCACGGCGACAGGACTGGATCGGGCTTGATGACTTCAGGTTCAACTGATAAACTGTTCAATCATCAAGGAATCGATCAAGCATCACAATCAAAGCTGTTTTCAAGAGGTCTAAGTTTATTCATCACTGTATATTTGTGCAATCACTATCGTGTACTACTAATATCCTACTAACTCACTCTTGCTACTTTCAAATTCAATCTCAGACCATCTGCAACAATGTGGTTACATGCCCCCCGCGATCGATTCCGACAGCCACGCCTATTGATCATTCCGGATTTGATACAGATTGAAGAGGCTTTGGAGAGGATGCTTTGTGAAAGATGATTGAGACACTGTTGAGACATTGTTGAGGAGGGTTGCTCATCCTTATATCAAAATAACTGACCCCACCAATTCAAGATTTGAATGCGATAGAGATCCCCCCGAATTACAGATTGAATCCCTTCTATTCGCAATTGCCCACATATTCAAAGTTCTTCTTATGGGGAAATTCTGATCAATATTGATGTTTCAATGCATCATTCACAACAAAAAGAAACCACTGACAAAACTAATGAACACAACACCCTGCAAACAAGCCCTTCTCAAACAAGAAATATCAGTGAAAAGACCGGCTAGATCTCTGTAGCTAATATATATATATATATATATATATATATATATATATCTTATCAGAAAACAGAAAGGCCAGGGATGACCCGGAGGCTTGTACAGTACATTCCCGAGGCTAGGAACGTGCCGTTCCCAGGGGCAAATGGTACCGAGGCCACCCTAAGTGCTTCCAATTTTGTCGAAAAAATAGCTGTTGTCAGAAATTCGCATTTGATGACTGTGCTATCATATCCCTGGTCATCGGGTAGTCGTAAAACAATTTGAATTAAAACCTCAGCTATAAAAAAGAAATGTAAGCAGCCCATACGCCAAACACCGCTGCCTGCCGCCAAAAAATGAAAAGAATAAAAGAAAATAAAAGGCTGAAAAAAATAATATCGTAAGTTAAACTAACTTTATTCATATTACAGCATGACGATCCGTCACCGACGGAGACTGTCTAATCTCGCCTGTAAATCGTCGTCATCCGTATTTGCACCACCACCACCACCACCACCACCACCAACCGCTTGGGCGACCCGTCCCTCGGGCACGGATGCTTTTTGTAATTCCGAAGGTGTTTCTCCCATCTGCGATTCTTAACTGTCAGCAAAAATATATACTTTGCAGGACGGATACAAACATCTCCGAAGAAAGGGCAAAAAAAAATAAAGTTGGTTGGTGAAATAGGGGAGAGGTGGAAAAAAAGGAGAGTTGGGGGGGAGAGGGGGTATAAGTATAAAAAACAAGAAAGAAATAAAAAAAAGGCAAGAAAACATACAGCCTGTCCCAGGTCAACACCAATCTCATCCAGAACCTCTTTCACTATCTCCTCGCCTTCCTCCTCATCCTCCAGCCCCGTGGCTTCGTCAATAGCATCGTCCATCAACTCCTGCCGCTGATCCATGATCTCGTTCTCCCGTTCGAATTCCATGGCTATTCGTTGCAGCGCGGGGAGGTTCATTTGTCTGTTCATGTTGCCTAGGAGCATGGTTGCGCCTTTCATGGATTGCATCATCTGCTCGTTACTCCGAACGGTCTGTTTACAAAAAGCATGAAGAAAACGCATCGGGTTTGTTAGCAAAATATGGGTAATAGGTAGATAGGGGTCTCTTGATCCGGAGTCTCAAGCTGTAAACTTTTACCGTACCTGGATCCGGAGGGAGATGGCTTGTAACTGTGTTCGCATCGAGTAGAACTTTTGGATGTATCTATGGTAGACGGGGAAAGAAGAAGAAAGAAAATCAGCAGCGAGTTTCCAAGATAGCACATAAATGGAATATATACAAATGCACAAGTAATTTCAGCATACCGTCTCGTCCGAACCAGATCCTTCGCCTGTATCTTGCAGGCGCCTATCTGCCCATTCTTCGCGCTCTTCTTGATATCCTGCACCAGCTTTTTTTCTTGGTTTTCCAGCTTGACACGCTCTCTGTCCAGTTCGCGCTGCGTCTTCTCCAAAGCACGTTGGTGTTTTCGTAAGCGCTCTGCGGGCGTCATGCGCTTTCCGAACGCCCATTCTACGATCTGGGTCCGAGTAAGCAAGCGCTTCAGAGTGGTAGGAGAGAGGTGGGGTGGGGGTTGTTGATAGTTACATTCATTGCGTATTGTAAGAGCAGAAGCGGAAGAGAGAGTGAAATGTAAGTCGCTGGAAATCCAAGTACTCGGGAACTATTACACTGGAATAAAAAAAAAGCCGAGGAGTGGATTCATAAGGTAATATTTATTTATTTGACCTGCCCATGAACGTCGCAGTGACGATGCTCTGCCTGGCGCCGCCACGCCAAGCCCGGGAGACCGGACGGACCGCCATCAAATAAACACCACCAACAATTCTCTTTCACCCAACGTCATTGATGAAATCTTTACAAGGGCCCCTTTTAGAACGCTCCAAAATAACCACTCTCCATTTCATGCGGGTTCTTACTCCTCTCTCCTCTGATCGGCGCATTACACCGCGCTTGCTATGAGTCAACAATATTTCCCCAGAGAGGGCTCCTCTTCGGCCAGTGAGGGCTCCTCCAAACACGCCGCTGGAGCATCCTCAAACAGTCCTCGTCCATACAGCGAAGGGCCTGAATATATGGTCGTTGGGTCCGGATCAATTTCGCACAACGCAACGTCGCTGATGGCGTCGTTGAATTCCGATTCTGGCTATGGGGGTAGCATAATGGGCGAGAGTGCGGATGGATTGATGGAAGACCGCCCTACGCCTTCACATACTCCAGTTCTTCCAGGACAGTTCAATGAAGCGGGTTAGTTTTCATTCAGTCTATTTATAGGGCTTCTCCTTTTGTTTTGTTTTCTTTTCTGTTAAACTGACAGTCATTCATTCTATATAGCTGAGCACGAAAGACAGGTGTCGCAAGCCATGTCCATCAATTGCTGTAGTGCGTAACTCTCCTAGAAACCGATAACAAGTTCCGTCTGGCAATTTGTTAACGGCTTTATTCTCCTCTCTAGCAATTCGAACCGAACTCAACTTAGTCGATCGATTACTCGTACCGTTGAACTTCTCAAGGAGCTTCAGCAGATGAACCGCCAGTGGCCTGCTCACTACCCACCCGTCCAATCCACTCAATCCACATCCGCTTCCGTATCTAGTTCGCCGCGCGTACAGTCATTCCAGCCCGATGCAATGAATTCAGGTTCCTACGAACGGCCGGACCCTTTGCTGCGGCGTGCGACTACAGGGGTGGATGGGAGTGTGATTCCCGACCGCAGCGAAACCGTAGAAAATGGACCTCCTCCCGGACCACGACTGGTGACGCCGCAGATCGCCCAAGAATTCTCTATATTAAAACTGGACCTTAAACTCGGCTCATTGTCACAGTCAGAGTTGGTTCATTCGTTGGAAAAAAGCTCCATTGCCTCGTTGCTGGATGGCAGGGTGAGTCAGAGTATCAGACATTTACTTTCTCTGAGGGATAGGATAGAGGATTTGTCTAGCAAAGTGTTGATTACTGGCGATCTCAATGCTGGCAAATCGACGTTCTGCAATGCGTTGTTGCGGCGCAAAGTTTTGCCAGAAGACCAGCAACCCTGTACGAGTATTTTCTGTGAGGTGCTGGATGCCAGAGAAAATGGCGGTATTGAAGAGGTCCATGCCCTTCACAAGGAAAGGGCATATAACCGCAACGACGAGAGCACATACGACGTATACTCGATACAAGACCTGGAGTCTCTAGTTGTGGACAACAGCAAGTATATGCAGTGCAAGATTTATTTGAAGGATGCGAGGACAATTGACGAGTCGTTGCTGAACAATGGTGTGGTCGATATATCCATCATCGATGCCCCGGGCTTGAACTCCGATTCCGTCAAGACCACTGCTGTCTTCGCACGCCAAGAGGAAATCGACGTGGTCATTTTTGTTGTGTCCGCTGCGAACCACTTTACCTTATCAGCGCAGGAATTTATCATGAATGCCGCCCACGAAAAAGCTTATATATTTATTGTTGTGAATGGATTCTGACAACATTCGGGATAAGCAACGATGCAAGCAAATGGTATTGAAGCAAATTGCTAAATTGAGCCCACGAACTTTTAAGGAGTCTGCTGAACTTGTCCACTTTGTATCGAGTAATGCGATCCTGTTATGCCTGCTATCACAAATAGTGGAGGTGGTGGAGGCGATGGAGACGATGGAGACGATGGAAATGGTGGAAATGATGGAACTGATGGGGCCGCAGGATTGGATGGTGAGGATGACTCAAAAGGCAAAGGAAAAGCCCCTACTGCAGCGGATGAGAAGGGGAAAGGGAAGGACAAAGAGAAAATCCATGACTTTGAAAATTTGGAGGGTGCATTGCGCCGATTCGTCCTTGACAAACGCTCACGTTCGAAGCTCGCACCAGCAAAGACCTATCTCTTGAACATCCTTTCTGATCTACATGTTCTTGCCTCTGCCAACCGGGATGTCGCTTCATCCGAGCTCGATCGCATGACAAAGGAACTAGATGAACTTGTGCCTGCCTACGAGGGGAGCAAAAAGAGTCAGACGGAAGTTACTGAACAGCTTTCGAATTCTATTGATGAATCATGCGAGGATGTTTATAACCATTCTCGGTCAACTTTATCCACGCGAGTAGCAACACTTGCTGAAGCCACTCTTGGAATTGAGTATCCTGGCTTATTTTCTGCGTTCCAGTATGCAGAAGATCTGAAGGTAGCTATGCTCGACGAGCTTGCTGCCTCCGTTTCTGCTTGCGAGGATTACGCTCGGGGAAAATCCATCCAGGGAGTCAACATGATCCAGAGCATCGGCATTCTCCATGTCGGAGAAGATAAATTCTCTAATCTTAATTTCCGCGCGGATCTTATGTTTAAGCAAAAGCGACATGTCACTGCTAGGCAACTCGATACTGAAGTCGATCTGTGGGACTTTTTCGACGTCGCTGGCATCTGGCATCGGCAGGAGAAGGTTGCCGGAACTGGCATGGCGATGACTTTTATAACCGTCCTTGGCGGAAGGGCCTTGGGTGGAGCAGGTTGGATCGACGGTGTTCTTGGTGCTGCTAGGATCCTGGGAACTAACAATATGCGGCGCATGATTGTGCCCGGCATGGTCGCAGCAGGTGAGTTTATTTTCTTCTCCGGATCCATTCATTTCCACAGTTCTCTTTTTAACCCATTCACGAGCTAACAATAACATCTAAGCACTATTAACCGCGTCATACCTCCTCACCCAAATCCCCACTGCCCTCCCTGCCAACATTTCCCGCAAACTCTCCGAAACCCTCGCGGAGATCGATTATATTCACGCCAATGCCAGCCGCATCTCATCTGAGGTGCGTCGTGTCCTCCGCATACCCGCCTCGAGGCTACAATCGACCCTCCAGACAACCACCGAGGAACTGTCTAAGCGGAAAGACGAAGTCGGCAAGACCAAGAAAGAGAGCGAAATTGCCAACAAGTACTTCTCGAATCTATTCCGTGAAAGCAGGGAGACTCGCAGGGCGGTTGAGCAGGTTGATTTGGAATCGCCGCTGCCAGGTAGCATGGCGCAATATCAGGGATAAACAGCACAAGGTTTGGGTTCTTGAGTTCCCCCTTTTCTTACCTCTTTCCCAGCCCGGAGACGAATTAGAGAAATAGCGAGGGAAGGACACAGGTGCTTTTAATGTCTTAGTTGCCTGATATCACGTACCCCATTCATTTCCTTTTGTTGGTTTGTTTTTATTCTATTTTCTTGGCAGTCAGCATTACATGAAGTCCAGGGCGTCATGCATACATGGTGCCTTTGTGTCTCTAATGTTTGTGATCTCCATATATATGTATGTATGTTCTAACGCCTATTTTTTCCCCCTCTTTTCTGTTTGTAAATACCACCTTCTGGCGCCTTCTTTTATTTTTTTTTACAATTCCCCATCTCCCAACCACACACCCACATCGCATCGGAATAAGAATGGTCATTTCCATATGTTTGTCTAGTTCATGGCGGGGTCTTTGTTTTTTTCTTAATTTTTATTTTTACTTATATTTTCTCCTTCGTATCGATTCTCTACCCGGCCCCATTTTTTTTCTCCCATTTCGCGGCAAAGACATTTTCCCCCTCCCTCCAAAATGAATTTTTGCTCTTATGAAAACTCTCGACACTTGATGCACGTTATTATATAGTTACTTGTAATTAATTACCAGAGATGCTTATCCTATCTGTTGAGCTGATTTTGATCGCGCTATGCTTATGCTTATTTGTCCCTGCCTCCCTCTTCACTCAAGCCTTGAACGATGTGATATGTGCAACCAATTACTTATCACTCCTCAGAGGAGTGCGGATACGCCAATATATACATTTATCCAAGAAGGACGTTCAGAGCCCAGAGGAAGGTGTGTTAATTGAGTTGCCGACACATATGTTTCAGCACTTTTCGCTCTCCCCGCTGCAAACGCCAAAACCGAGAATTACCAGTAGGGAACACCGTGCTGGCGCCCCTGCACCCCTGCATCCCTTTCCCTAAAAATAAAATGAGAATGGGTACACTCACTGAAAATACGACGCCTCATGCCATGTCTTGGCGTCTACCAACAAACAGAGCCTATCAAACTCGTGACATCTTGCCACAGAATTTGTGAAGTATATCGGTATAATCATAGATGAAATAAAGGGTAACCGAGGGGAAGGGGACGGGAAGGAAGGAAGGGGAGGGAACAGCGAAAATAAAACTCGGTATCACAATTCTTCATATGTCACCCCTTTCCCTGACTTTCTAGTCCTCCTTCTAGCTCCCCACCCATACAGCGCCTCGTTCTTAGGCACCAAACTCTTTGCGATTAGCTCACGGTGCTTCGCCGTGGCTGTAGCGGCTGCGGTATCCGCTGGAGTCCCATTTTTCACATCAGTCATCCCAGCCGCCCCACTGTTAATCTTAGCCCTCATAGCCGCTGCGTCGGGAATTTCATAACCCAACTGAGTCATGGCAGGCGTGCCGTCATCGTCTGGGAATCCCGAGCCATCTTGGTCACCAATACCGCCATGCGGGAAATCTGCAGTTGTACGGGACATTTCCAGCCGAGATTCTAACAACTGCAGCGCTTCTGTTTTATCCGCCTTGTTCGCGAAGAGAGAAGAGGAGAAACTGGGAGCGTTTCTGTCGGCCTTCGGAGTCGCTGGGCTGTCGAAGCCGAGCCCCTCAACGACGCTGCCGTGGCCATCTTCGTTCATGGTGTCGATGGAGCTAGCTCGGGAAATGCGGGTGTCGCCTGGCACGGCGGCGCCTAGAGAAATTGAAGAGTGTGAATTGGCGCGGCCGAGGAGCTGCTTTCTGCGCTTGCGCTGCTGGCGTTGTACACTGCCACCACCACCATCTCTATCCTCTAGGCTGGATGGTTTGGAAGAAGCTGCCCGACGCTTTTGTCTTAGGAATTCGTTGAGGGCGATGTCAAGGGTTGTTTTGGGATCAAGGTTGTTATTGCTATTATTAACTTTACCATCCTTATTATTAGATACTTCTGCTGATGGGTGCTTTGATCGGGCGGATGAGATGGGGACGGTGGGGACAGGTGTTTCGTTGCGCTTCGAAGGGGAGGGGGAGCGGCTAGCTGCTTTACGTGGCGAATTTGATGAGAGCTCTTGCAGGGCGCCGGCTGGGACACTTGGTTCTTGCGATACTGGGGATTTTTCCCCTTCTTCTTTAAGGCGGGTGGAAATATTAAGTTGTTCTGGGATGCCTGGGTTAGGGTCTGTTGGTAACTCATTTTCTAATGGAGCCTTGCGCTTCTTGAGTTCGTCTCGCTTTACTGTGTCCAGTTGAATAAGTTGGGCTGAAGCTCTAGTGTTCTGAGGTGGTCTATGCTCTATTATATATGGTGTGAAAGGTTTTCTCTCCCCAGTCTGAACTGAAATCCATAGCCAATCCGCAATGACAGCTGGGATATTCCATTCTGCGATGTGTCGTAGTTTTTCTTGGTTCGGGTTCCCGTTGTTGCAAATGAGTACTGATGCTTTAGGTGTAAGAAACTCATCGTAAGTGGCCCCTAATAACAAGTTAGTCTCAAACAGTCACCAATTGACATAGACGTTTAACGTTACCCATCACTTTGACGAGCTTTGAAAGATGTAAAAGGTCAATGCCTGAAAACCCAGTCGAGCAAACTCTCAGTCCCTGGAACGCTATTTACAGTCAGAAAAGTGGGTCCAGTGCTTCATCCATCAATGCTTACGAACCTGGTATTGGGAATTTGGGAAAAGGGGTACTTGTAATATGTGCCTCAGGAGGAACGAGGGCATTATTGTGCAAGCACTTCTCGATCCATAAGTCCGTTACAATTTCCGGTTCTATGACTAAGTCATCAATGGACGGAATTTCGGAGCGTGGTAAATTATGCGGCACGAGGATGTATGTTGCGTGCCCATTCATTGGGACCTCACTTGCAAGAGCACTCAAGGACGAAACGATTCGTGCATCACGAGAGAGCAGGTGAGTCTCTAAAATTCGAGTCTACTTGAATGTTAGTTCTAGAGAAGCCTGTGACTACCTGCATTGCTTACTTGACTTGAAGAGAACCCTTTTATAAAAAATATAGCACCAAACCAGAATCCGCGGCGAGTTATATCAAGCTCCTGCGACTTTTGCATGGGTATCTCGGTCGTGGCAGGGTGAGTTCTCTCAGTTATGGTCGTTTCACTAGCGAAAGACTTTGGTTCTTGAATCGCAGCTGGGGTATCAGCTATTTGTCCACTCGGCTCGGTTTTTAAGTTAATGGTCGATCCTGACGCCTTTGTAGCATCTCCTACAATATCTGTCCAGATATCTTCATTCTGGCCTCCTAATTTCATGCTTGCAACCCTCCGAATTTTCCGAGTCCGTTGAGGATTGGTTGTGACCGCCTTAGGTTTCACGGTAACCACTGGAGCGGATCTATTCCATGCGCCAATTCCCTGCTCCTCGTCCGGGAGCAAAGGGTCGTAGAGGCTCTCATCAAGAGCCATCCCCCGCTCAAGGCTGTCTTGAAGCCATTTCAGACTCACAACTGTTATTTTCCATAGGGTTGCATATTTATATTTTTGGCCGTATCCGGATCGTGCAATCAGATGGGTAACGCTCTTTGTAAGATCCCTCCGAAATTCCGCTCCATTCTCGGTGATCAACTTTTGTAGGGAGTTTCTGTGATTCACTTTTTGTGGTCAGACTGTTCAGTATATATGTAAAAGGCCAAAACATAGCATCGCTTACTGTCGTCAAATCCGGTCAGACATATAGATAAGCCAGCAAATGTGGGAAATCGATATTGCTCTTCCAGCTGCTGAAGGTTGGTATCGCCCCCGAGCACCCAGGATGACCGAACGGCTTCTACCCATTCTGCTTTTAAAACCTTTATATCAGTCCGCTCCTTGGCCACATATCTATATTTCGGTGTATTAAGCTCTCCGACGATTAAGTGCGTGACATCTGAGGTGAGGTCGAATTTATGGACAGCTCCCATTTGGGTGGCCACCGCCGCTATCTCTTCCTAGATAGAGACGAAATATCAACAACTGGAGTGAATCGACACACGAGGTTGGAGATCAGGATACTACCCGGTACTCTGGCAATATCGACGTACAGCAAAGAATCACCCCCGCGAGAGGGTGTTCCTTGTCTAATATGTATGAGCTTCTGTATGGGTATTAGTGGAGGAATGGATCACTTTACCTGGTACGACATTCCCCTCCATGCTTCATAATTGACTCCGATCCCACTTGCCCATAACCCCAGCTAAATTCGTAACTTATAGGTTGGGCTTTCCAGGTAATAGTACCGCGCTGGCGCATTAATGGTTCGTCTTAATGTAACTATCCCCTACGTTGTTGTCCATGATTGCTATAAACCCGATAACAAAACGCGAACCAAGCTGAAGAGCACCGGTCATATGACATTTCCTGCCCTAAAACGCTTCAACCTTGGAAGTCCCGTACATTGTCACGTGGAACCTCAATTGGCATTCTTCGCGTCTTCGACCCGCGATGACCGAAAGAGTAAATAATAGCACCTACAGTATATGGAGATGTTGCTGACACTTACAGCCACCAACGTTATAGACAACCTTTTTCAGTTATTCTCGGGATAAATTGGTTTATCTGGATGTTGCTAACATCTGTTTATGTCCCGTTTCGCTCTGTTGGCCAGAGGTTCGACTGCAATCGTTACTCCGTCCTTCATCCGACTGGCTCCACGGTGGCCGTACTCCCTTTCGTCCCACCGAGTGCGAAAGTTTACGATGTTTAATCAAGCAGTTCGCAATCACACAGCTCCCGCAAGACCTCTTTTGCCAAAGGCTGCTCCTCTAAACAGAGCTACCCCGGTTTCTTCCAGTCAGCAGGCTGGGTTCAAACGAAAGTTGGATGCTGTCCAGTCCACTCCATCGGACACTCCGTTAGCGGTACTTCATAGCAACGTGTACTTCGATGAGAACGATTTCGACGACGATATAGACCTAGACGAGCCTACCAGCTTTTCGTCAAACCTTGTTCAATCACAATCGTTCGCTTCTTCACGTCTTCAACCCCCGGAACTCCCTCCTCCCCTCGAGCAGCCAGCACCGCCAAGTGATAATGTTGCTCCTCCAAGTACCATTCCGCTTCCGTGGTCATCTTCGCCTCCTGCAAATTTACTTCCTCCAGCAAAGCGGCGTGCTTTACCATCGCAGGTAGATGCAATAAAGTCTGAAACCGAGCGTGGACCCCGAATCAAACCGGAACCAAAAACTGTTCCCCGTACTCCAGCTTCTAATAAAAGATCATCCCTACCGTGGGATAAGACTATGAGCACAGTGAAGGAGCAGCAGAAGGAGTTACGAAAACAACAAAAGACACGTATTAGCTCCGAAAAAAACTCAACTCACGTTGGCACAAGGGCACCAAAAGTCGCATCTATTTTTCTTAGTGAAGAACAGAAAAGAGTAGTGGAAGCTATCGTTAAGGATGGCAAGAGTATATTTTTTACAGGTTCAGCTGGTACTGGCAAATCCGTTCTCATGAGAGAAATCATCAAAAAATTGCGAGAAAAATATAAAAAAGAACCTGACCGTATTGCTGTCACCGCTTCAACTGGGCTTGCTGCGTGTAACATTGAAGGCGTTACACTTCATAGTTTTGCTGGGATAGGATTAGGAAAGGGACCTGTAGCGGACCTGGTTAAAAAGGTTAGTTGGAAGTTAGGCCCGTCCCTTTTTCAGACTCGTCATTAATTGCCCTCCTAGGTCAAGCAAAACCAGAAAAATAGGACCCGATGGTTGAGGACTAAGGTTCTTATCATTGATGAAATTTCGATGGTTGACGGTGATTTGTTTGACAAACTTGAAGAGATTGCTCGCAAGATCAGGAATAACGGCCGCCCATTCGGAGGCATTCAGTTGGTCGTTACGGGTGACTTCTTTCAATTACCCCCCGTGCCAGATTCAACCCAAGTTGCGAAGTTTGCTTTTTCAGCTTCCACTTGGAACACCACCATCCAGCACACAATTCTTTTGACCCACGTTTTTCGGCAAAAAGATCCTAAATTCGCTGGTATGCTGAATGAGATGAGATTGGGGAAATTGAGCCCAGAGACAATTGCGGCCTTCAAACAGTTATCTCGCCCCCTGAATTTCCACGATGCACTTGAAGCAACGGAACTGTATGTTTTATCCCAATATCACATGTTGTACATTATTTAACTAATTCTTGCGGCTTAGATTTCCCACCCGATCAGAGGTTGAAAACGCGAACTCTGCGAGAATGGCCAGGCTCTCTGGTGAGACAATGGTGTTCACGGCCGTCGACGGCGGAACGATGCAAAACGAAGCGCAGCGTTCACAACTCCTTGCCGACTGTGTCGCACCCACAATTCAGCTCAAAAAGGGAGCTCAGGTGATGCTTATAAAGAACATGGATGAATCCCTTGTCAACGGGTCATTGGGGAAAGTGGTTGCCTTCATGGATGAAGCTAGGTTTGATTATTACACTAAAAACGATGAAGATTTTGCGGGTGATCCGAGCCATGATGACCGCAAATCTCAGGCAATCAACAAGGTGAGATCTTATGAGAATAAAATCGGGACTGTCAGCACCAATGGCAAATGGCCGGTTGTTTGCTTTGTCCAACCAGATGGAACGGAGAGACACCTCCTTTGCCAGCCAGAGACATGGAAAATTGAACTGCCCAATGGTGAAGTGAGAGCGCAACGAACGCAGGTTCCGCTTATACTTGCATGGGCGCTCTCCATTCATAAGGCACAAGGTCAGACTTTACAGCGAGTTAAAGTTGACCTTGGACGGGTTTTCGAGAAGGGACAAGCTTATGTTGCTCTTAGTCGTGCGACATCTCAGGCTGGCTTGCAGGTTTCGCGCTTTGACCCACGTCGAGTTATGGTTCACCCAAAAGTCTTAGAATTTTATTCGAATTTATCCACCATACATAACATTAAGGACGCGGCCAATTCCAAAGCGAATATCCTTGTGGATGGAAATAACAGCGCCAATGTCGACACCAGCACCCGTACCAACGCAGATATCGACACCAATGCCAAACCAGGCAAGGACCAATCTAAGATTGCCAAGCGGCTTTCTACGGATTTCTCGGATGATTTCGACGACGATGTGCTCGAGCACGTATATGCATGATACACATTTTTTACGCCAGTCTTTTATGGGGGAAAGTTTGGCCACATCAGAGCATTGTTAATCGCTTATAGATATATTAATTCCTCAAGACGAGCTGTCACCATATTTCTTGTCTGACGAAGCAAATAGCTCGTCCATTGGGGGGGGATATATGATGAGTTTTAGATGGCAGATGTGTTCTTCCTGATTGCTCCTAGGAGGAAATCAATATATATGTAAAAGAGTCATTCCATTTTTCTTCTTAGTTTTGTTGGCACCTCTGTTGGCACCTATATTGTAACCTCCATAGACATATAATTCACTCAAAGTAGCTAGATAGCAACAACAATAATATGATAGGCAACTGGGGCGAAAGAGGTGGTATAGAGGGTACGAATCACCCCAATCCAACCCAATCCCTCCAACACAATGTTAGTCTTTCTGAATCTATCTGAATTGCCTGTTTTATATCTGTAAGTAGCTGTGAACATCTATTAAGCATGACTATAGACATCGATGCTTGTGTCTCTTAGGGCATGAATCAAATTGAATGCAAACCTACAGCTTTCTAATAGTTAAATATTTGTTGTTCTCAAGCCATTTCCCCCCAAAAGCCAATCACTATGTCCTTCTACGCGTCCCCCAAGCTCAGGTCACGGCCATGAAGGGCCATTTTACTAGCACTTTACACCACCACCGTGGAGTATGCACGAGCTGTTTCCGGTCGGAGGAATTTGGGCCAATTCAGAAGCGAGTGGTCTCCGCAGGCCATACGGCCTGCGGCAAATCTTTCTCTTTGCCATCCAGAGCGTTAAAATCGAACTTGTGGAGGCAGAAACTCGTCTTCTCCTCTTCAAGAACTTCATAGTGACCTCACTGCTGTATGGCCATGCGAGACTGAGAAGGCAACTATCTCTCGGTCGGCCAAAATGATTGACTCCAATGTCGCGGGAAAATGTTGTTCCGGCTTGCGCTCATAGCATATATATATAATCTCAAGCAGAACAGTAGAGTCCATTGACCAAAAGACAAACCATTCCAGTTACCATTGCAAGGTCCACCAGGGTTTCACACAACACATCTCCTTACAGCAGGGCATTGTCAGTATCAAGCAAGCACAATACATATGACGGAGACCCACACTGCTCGAGATGCTCCCTCAAATCATCATGCTGAATCCGGCCAACTGATAACACCCAGCATTGCTAGCACTGTCAAACCGCGCAAAGCCCTTCTAAACCGTTTCATCACCCTATCGAATGCGGAAGTTGAAGAGGAGGATATGAGGGCAGAATTGCAATATACCCAAAAAAGGGGGATCTTATATACTGAGTTAGATAGTCAGAAGAAGGAAATCCAGAGGCTTGTAGCTTCTCATTGTGGGTTCGCATGCCCCGACCCGGTACAAGTTCCAAAAATGGTCGAGCAAGTCAACAACAAGCTTATGTGGCTACACGGAAGCTTCAACGTGTGTATCCCTGTACATATCAACAACTCTGGACAATCGCTCCCTGAAAAAATGGCATTCAGGGTGCCTTTGCCGTAAAAGATTGGTGAAGAAGAATTCCCTGGCAATGCGGAGGAGAAGATACGATCCGAGGCTGCAACATACATCTGGATCAATGAGAACTGTCCGGATTTACCAATTCCAAAGCTACGAGGGTTTGGAGTACCTGGTGGTCTCAGTGTGAGTACATGCAATTCTTCAGCTATCTGATAATTTGCTAATATCTACTGAGCGAGCAGTTCTTTGATCCAAAATTTATTCCACTCTGTCAAAGGATCAAGTCCTTTGTCTGGCGCTTCTTCTGTCGTCTGTTTGAGAGTCCAGGATTCTGCGAATACATTCCACAGAAAAGAACTACCTTTTTGAACCACGGCTATATTCTGATTGATTGGGTTGAAAGTGAGAACGCACAAATGCTCTCAAGCGCATTTACCCTGCCACATACAGAAGCACAGACCCAGAATCTTTATCGAAGTATGGCGAGAGTTATGATCTCTCTCACTAAGGTTACACAGCCTCGGATCGGCTCTTGGACGATTGATAATGACGGCTGAATCAGCCTATCCAATCGCCCCATGCTCTGTCATCTCCACCAACTGGAGAACTGGGCTATCCCATCCGGTATCGCGCGGAATATGACCTACACAAGTTCTGATAGCTTCTATCTTGATTTACTTGCAAGTCATGATAATCGTCTCCAATATCAAAGAAATGCTGCCTATAGCGAAGAAGATGCACGTACACAAGCTAAGGATCTAGTGCTAATGAGAGCATCACTCCATAAATTTACTGATCGGTATCTCCACAATGGTCCATTCATCATGCAATTGACAGATATGCATGCCAGCAATATCTTCATTGACAAGGACTGGAACATCAAACACATCATTGATCTTGAATGGGCGTGCTCTCTGCCTCTGGGGGACCTGTTGCCTCCCTTTTGGCTAACAGGAATGGGTGTGGATCAAATCAAAGGCCCAGAGTATGAACGGTTTAGAGCAAGCTACGAGAAATTTACGGAAATATTCGAACAAGAGGAGACGGGCATACCGCTACATCACAACGGAAATCTCTACTCTCGGGCCATGGCCATGAGGACTGCTCTAGAGGATGGTCGATACTGGTACTTGAATGCGCTGCAGACCCCAAAGGGTTTGTTCAATCTTTTCAGGACGCATCTTGAGCCGTTTTATGATAAGGTGCCTAAAGAGTCCCTGTGCGCGGCTGAATCTCCATTTTGGACACCTGGAATGACTTCATTTGTGAATTTGAAGCTGAAAGAGTTTACTCAATACCGCCAAGAGGTCCGTGATATCTTCAATAGTGGAAAGAGTGGACGACCATATTATTAGACAAGATACCCATTTGTTTTAGCATGGATTCTCCTCGGTATCTTCCTTGTCGCATTATCTCCTTCTATCTTGTGCGTGACGACCACTGCTGCTCAACTGTTGAGCTGCTTGAGGGTTTTGGGTTACAGCAGAAATCAGTGTCTCAGCATTCCTTTCTGACTCTGATGCAAATTGTGCACCATGTTCCAAGGCAGATAGTGTTCTTTCCCTTGCCGCCTCAACGCTGCCTTTGTTTGAAATATTGCTCGTCGTATTGCTCGTAGGAGAACCGCGGGTGGCAGTAGTGCTACCAGCAGAGTATTGCCTGCGGGATGGGCCCTGCGCGGTGTCTCCAACAGTGCTCGTTGCTCGGCTTGAGGTATTTGGGCTCCATCGACTGATTTCCTGCTGCTGACCTGGTTGGCGGTCCTCTGGCGCGAGGCCGCGCTTTGTTAAGCGCTGGCTTGGGAGTCACCGGACGTGCGGCCATATCGGCTCGGGTGGAGGTTGGCATGATGGTTTACTACCTTGCAGTTGGCTGATATTTGCTTAGACGTGTAAGCTCAACACATATTGTCCATACCTCTGGTTTTGTTTAAGGCACACTTGCATATAACACGATTGTGTCTTGCTCTTTGGAAATTATATCGATGCTGACGATGAACAACGCGTTTAATACTGCAAGGCGGGCTAGGGTAGTGAACTGGGCTCGACGCGAGACTTGCCATGCTGGCCGGCGGTTTGTCAGTAAGGGCCGTCATGCAGCGTTGTACGTGGCAAACGCGACATGGGGGCTCGCGCTCGCACGAAATCAGTCCACCACCCTGTTCCTAACTGATCCCAGTTTTCAGACCTTTGGTTGTGCTGAAGACGGTACGGACTGCCCAACGCATTGTGACCAACCGAGATTTTTCCTTTGTCACATTAGTCAAGCTCTAAAAGTGTAGACTGGTGTATGGGCTACCTTTAACCCGAACCTGGAATGCCTGTGTCCAAATTGGGAAATTATGTTGTCGACTGCGAGTGGTACTAGACAACCATTGCACGCAACAAAAAATTCCCTATTTTGGTAAGATGCACACAACAACCTCATATTTTAAACCTCACTGACATTCTTCACTTTTTGCTAGCTTCTGTAAAGCCTCTGTAACACACACATGAAATCAGAAACAGCTTTGTTGCATGTCAGAAGACTTTTATTAGACGCGGCGAAGCGAAGTCTCTAAGAATCATACAAAGCTCTGAGGGAAGTTGCTTCATTTTGTCTGAAATGATTGGATGTCATTGTATTCCAAAATGACTTAAAGTCTCAATGATTTTATTGATGTAAAGGAGATTTTTGCATCTCTGATTGATCTAAAATCCTGAAAATCCCCACTTTTATTGACAACAGTGGAGACTTGATTTTGACACTATTTCACAATTGACTTGGATACCCCATATTCTGAGCCCTAAATTATCTGCCTACCTACAAATCTACCGCTCGATATCTAATCAATCCCTATGAGAATAAGCATCACCATGTAGCTACCCACCTACCTATCAATGCTAGCTTACTAGCTGCTATCTGCTTGCCTACCTGCCTATCTCTCTACTGACCTGCTTGAATGAATGATATCCACTGATGATATCTGCGATGATATATCGATGATGATATCTGTGATGATATTGTTCAATAGCAACATAATGAATAATACGACTTCGCACTTTCGCTCCGCCCTGCCCAGCTGCATGTGTCATGAATCTCCTGCTATAGAGTGTTGCGCCTGAGCTTTCCAACCCTTTGAAGAAGTTAAAGATGTCTTCATCCCCTGGGATTCAGAGGTTCGTTTGCCCACCCCTTGAAGGGGCCTGATAGGGGCACCCCCCATAGTATAAAATAGTGATGTATTCTGAAAAACTTGATAATGATTCATGTGTAACTATTCTGAAAATATTCTGAAGAGGTTACAATGATAGCAAAGTGAATCCATGGTTATTCAAAACCACCAATTTCCAATACTTCACTATTCAGTATTCACCCATCAATTACTTTTGACTCCTTACTTGGGTATCGATAACAGGTCACGTGGGAGGCTTCAATTTTAGGCAAAAGAGCGCTCTCTCCACCAGCGCGACGCCATCTCTGAAGTAACTAGAGGGGACGAACCACCCAATCCAATCCCTCCAACACAATCTTTCAACCTTAAACCACACGCCAAAGCATAGCTACAGGATCTCTACAACAAATACTTATTTGTTCTTATACGTGATCTGTGTGGCACTATGCGAAAATCCCAATTCTGACTTTCGATTCTTCTTTTGCCGCGCTAATTTCATTATGGCAGCGGACTTTGTGGGATATACCGTTCTGGTTACGCTCAAGTCACCACCAGACTCACAGGTTCAAGGGGTGGTTGCTGATGTTGCGGGACAGCGACTAACGCTTCAACATGGTTAGCTGCATTCTCTCACATTATGTGATATGTGCCTATGCTGACGCAGATATAGCAACGCTACTATGGAGTGGGCAGCATATTCCGCTGTACCATATTGACGCTCCAGGCATCGCAGATCTAGAATTGTCTTCCCACCAAATACCGAACCCTCCCGCAGCCGCCAACTACGGAACTACAGCCCATACGTCCTTCCATAATGGTAGCACGCTGCCTCCTTCACAACGCCCGTCGCAACTTCCGCAACGCAGGCAGGAAAATGCGGTTGAGACCGTGTCGCTAGAATCCCGGCCTCAAGCGTTTGTTGACCCCGCGATACTAAGTTTCCAAAAACCCTCTAAAAATTCGTCAATTTCGACCACGAACATACATTTAAATACTGGCAAACGAGACGCCACTTCTCCAGTTATGATTGCTGATTCGGAGTCTTCCGCCCGCTCTGGCGCAAAGTCTATGGTTTCCACTGCCATAACTCCAACTGGCCCAAAACATGCGGAGGTAGATGATGCAACAGCAACACTCAGCGAGCCATTTAACAACCTGAGTTTCAACGAAGGATCGACGGAGGATCAGGGTACACAAGTGGAACAGGCGGAGTCGAGTATTCCAGAAGGCCGTAAGGGTGCAGGGCCTCTGGAAGCGCCGCTCAAGTATACCGGAAAACGTAGTCGAAGGGGCGGAAGGAACAAGATGAATAAAGACGCAGCTGTGCAATCTTCCGGCGTTGACGCAATAACGGAAAACCCTACTGCCACGACAGGTTCGTCGAGATCCCCTGTTCCAGGGAAGGGTTGGCGTAAGACTGCGTTTGTTGAACCAGCCCGCAATCCGTCTCCACAAAAGCTCAATAATGGGCGAGCCAGGCGGTCTAAAGTAAGGAGCAAGAAATCATTTGCTGAGGACCCGAGTGGATGGGCAACGGAGGACGCAACGGACATTCAGGAGATGGGAGATTTCGATTTCGCCAGTAATCTATCAAAGTTCGATAAGCGTCGTGTTTTCGACGAGATTCGCAATGATGATACTACCACTGGCGAAGAACGATTGGTCAGTTTCAACAGGAGAGTTCAAAGACCAGGGACGAACGATGGCAGAAATTTACACTACACGGAGAATGTCCTTGATGACACTCCATCGAACGATAAATGGAATAGTGAAGCAGGGGAAACGGACGACGATGAAGCCAGCGAAGAGCGTTTCAGTAGCGGAAAAAATTCCGCGAGAGCTAGGTCGAGAGTATGCGTATCTGCCCGTGCACAATCTCGAAAAGGGAGTATGATTCTCGGATCGACTCTTGTATCTTCTCAGATCAGCTCCTTATCTCGTGGCCAAATGACAGGTTCTCGTACCGAAAGTCCGCAACCACACAAGAGTTCGCCTTTAATAGGATCGGGCTCGTCATCAACTGGTTCTTTGCTGCTGGCAGCAACAAAACGGCCATGCCCCTGTGTCGGTCCACTCCAAATGATTGAGATAGAGCAGTTGGCCATTACGGAACTTGGTTTGGGAGAAGACATTATTACGGAAAACGCTGGACGAGGCATTGCTGAGGCTGCAGTGTTTCAAGTCTCCAAACTTGCGATTTCATCCACCATATTAGTTTTAGCTGGGAATCACCGAACTGGCAGTCGTGCTATATGTGCCGCTCGACATTTCCGTAATCGGGGATATCGAGTAACGCTTTGTGTCCTTGGCTTGGATCGGGAAGACGAGTTCATGGATGGTGTACGGAAACAGATCGACATCTTCAAAAAGGTTACCGGAAGAGTCATGAAATGGGAAGAAATATCAACGCGATTGACCTCTGGTGATTACGTTCCCGACCTTGTAATAGATGCCTTATTTGGTGTTCATATTGCTTTTGATGACCTACGAACTGACGACCAAGCGACTGCCTTTGAAATGATCTCGTGGGCTAATCGCAACAATGTTGAAATTTTGTCCGTGGATGTCCCATCGGGTCTCTCTGCTGTATCAGGTAAGATATTTTATAGTTGTTACATCTTAACAGCTCTCTAATCTGACAAACTAACCCTTTTCCTTTGCTTCAGGCGAAGCAACGCTCGTTCAAGGTTCTCGATTGAGTGTCAATTCAAAATTCATCGTTTGCCTTGCAGCACCCAAAACCGGGCTTGTTCATGCGCTTGGGTCCGGCGAAGGACTAGCCTGGAACATCACAGTTGCAGATATTGGTATCAGCCAAGTTGTATGGAAGAAATATGGTAGTCGACGGCGACATGGTGTTGACTTTGGGAATCAATGGATCGTCCCCCTCCGATTCCAAACGCCAACGCCCTGAATATTCTCCCTTTCCAAGGAAAAGCAACCTTAAAAATCGGCTGTTTCATGTGTATTATTTTCTTATGCCAATTGCGACCAATGGAGTCGCGATAAGGCCTTCTTCTTTGTCGCTGTGTACTATCCGAAGAAAAAGCAATTCTTTTCCTACAGCGTCCATTTATTGATACCATCTTTGTATCCCCTAGGCATCGGGTTGAGAAAGGTTTAGGGAAAGGCTTACTTTTCAATCGGGTGTAATTATTAAATTAACGTTTCCCAGCCACTTCTTTGCTCCATAAGCAACGCCGACTACTTAAATATACTCAATATCTGCCGTCCTCGCCCTCATTTATAAGTAGGAAACACTTTACATACAGCGTTGCTTTGATTTCAAGAAAAGTTTCCCGAAGAGGATTAGCGTACGAAAGCTTAAACGCCCGCTGATGTAATTCCATTTCAGCCTGCAACTCAAGCGCCGACAAGTTTCTGCGACAGCAAGACATGCGATAGCTGTCGGCAGTAGGTCGATCATTAAGCATGGGAAAAGGTACGTAGCAGGCCTTTATTTCTCAAAATACATTCCGTGATACTGATGAAGTTATCTTGCAGGAACTGATAAGCTCTACGTATGATTGAATTCAGCCTGGCAGCAGAAACGCAGGATTGCTTCAACACTAACAGATGTTAAATATAAATAGATTACCCATTCAGAATGGGCATCCGAAGATGCATACTCCGCCAGCGCCGGTTCCGGGGTTCGATCGAAAGCGGGAACCGTACATTCTTCTTTTAAACGTCTCCCATTCAACTTCTGCTCACTCTCCCTACAGCCTTTCTCACATCCCGTTTGCACACTCTCCGGTACTCTATTCGACCTCACGAATATAATTCCTTGGATTAAGAAACATGGCACAAATCCCGTCGACGGCACCCCTCTCAGAAGCTCTGACCTAATTAAACTGAATTTTGCGAAAAATGACGAAGGCGAATATGTTGACCCCGTCACGTATAAAGCATTTACGGATAATACGCATATTGTGGCTTTGAAACCATCAGGAAACGTTTTTGCGTGGGATACGTTAGACAAACTAAATGTCAAGGCAAAAATGTGGAGGGATTTGGTGACGGATGAAGAGTTTGGACGGAAGGATATCATCACGCTACAGGATCCGCAGAATATCCAGTCTCGAGATCTTAGTTCTTTTAAATTTCTAATAGATGGGGAAAGCGGTTTATCAGATGAACAGTTGCGGGAACAAAGAAGTACCGTGAACATGAATGCTATGGGGAGCTCGGCGAGGATTTTGAAGGCAAAAGAGGCTGTATCGAAAGCACGCGCGGAACGCGAACAAAAAGCACACGCTACCGCTCTTGAAAAATCGAAAGAGAAGGATACCACAGTTTTGGGCAAAAATAGTTCCACGAAAGCCTCAATGAATCAAAACAAGAAACCAACGCCATACAACGCCGCAAAACATACAACAGGACTTGCAGCTGCTTCCTTTACCAGCACTGGTATCACCCCTCACACATCTGCTGACCTTGCTCTGCTCACCGATGAACAATACATGCTGCATCGGGGCCGTGTTAATATCAAGGGATACGCGCGCATTAGTACAACGATGGGGGATCTCAACCTTGAACTCCATACAGAACATGCACCCAAGGCTGTTTGGAGCTTTATTCAGTTAGCTAAGAAGGGATATTATAATGATGTCACTTTTCACCGAAACATTAAAGGCTTCATGATTCAAGGTGGTGATCCAACTGGTACTGGCAGAGGTGGTGAAAGTATCTGGGGGAAGAACTTTGAGGATGAGATCGAGGGACCGTTCAAACATGATGCCAGAGGGACGGTGAGCATGGCTAATAAAGGCAAAAATACGAATAGTAGCCAATTGTGGGTACAATATATTCCCTTCATCCAATTTCCCAGCTGTCGATCTCTATGCCTGAACATTTATTTAAAAGAAAAGGTATAAACCAGTGTTAACTCATAAAAACCAGCTTCATTGCCTACCGTGCCCTCCCCCATCTAAATCTCAAGCACACCATATTCGCTCGTCTAATCGACGACCCTTCGCCATCATCTACAACCTTAAACGCCCTCGAAATTTCCCCAGTGGATTCCACCAACAAGCCCATCACGCCTATCCGTATCATCAACGTTACAATCTTTGTCGACCCATTTGAAGAATTCCTAAGCCAGAAACGCGCAGAAGATGAAGCGCAAACAGGCGCTGGCCCTGATCCTTCGAATGGTTCCAGTTCAAGAGACGGCCAAAGCGACGACCAACTAACCTGGACAGGCAAGCGGGTACGAACTGGAGGTGTGGCAAATAGCGCTGCATCCTCTGGTGGAAATATGGGTGTGGGGAGATATCTTAAAGCAGCTACTGCCGCCACCGCCGCCGCTCAAAAAAAGGCGAGTGAAGACGAAATTGCAGAATTTATCGACGAGGAGCCCGATCTTGAACATGCGAGAAAGAAATTCAAAGCTGCGAATGGAGGCGGTGGGTTCGGTAATTTCGATAGTTGGTGAGGCAAATTTCGTTCGTCATTTTTTATTCTATGCGTTCCAGGACATGATGGGACGGCCGGGCCGGCACTTTTTATTTGTCTTGAAATGGATTATTCTCTTCTGTACTTTGTTTACACCAACATCACAGCGGTGTACAACTTTCCACAGGAGGAAAGCTATATGATGGAATTCTTTGGAGGATGGGAATATAGGCGTTTTACAGGAATGTCTGGTTCATATATTCTAGGAAAGGGGATTCAATGGAGTGATATTGAAAAGCAAAACTCTATCCAACCTTCAAACGGTTGAAATAGTAGGCCACTCTATATAGGACTATAATTATCAGGCCAGGACGAATTGAGAGCATCACGAATTGTGAACGGGGAGCGAACACCACTCGAATCCAAAGCTAGATATCCGTGGATATTCTAGGCAAAGCAATTTTGCTCACATTGGAATAAGAAATCAATTACGTTTTACCCAGGACCAATTCCGGCTGTTCAAACTCATTCATCGAATGATCCGCTAAAGGCCAAAAAACTTGCGGAAACTCGTCAACTTGCCTATCATCCAATTTAACAAATCGTTCACCAGAATCGCTTATTAGAATATCCAAAAATACTATGACGGGTTCTTAATAGTTAATCTCTTCACCAGCCTTTTATTAAGAATCTCAGGGGTAGCAGAGGTGATCGTAGAGTGGAATTGTTAAGAAAGTGGGAAGAAACGACATCTAAATTCTACCAAAAGGCATTGGGGATGATATAAATGGGAAAGCATATCATTCAATGGATATAAAGGGGGGATATGACAAGCTCAAAATAAAACAGAACTAGTGAGTGAAAAGCCTCAAGAATTGCTCTCCCAGATTTGTTTAACGTGTGATCAACCCATTCCCAAGAAGTTCTCCTATTTCTTTAATAAGGGGCTCTTCCGCAAGAGCACTCACTTTCTCTTTCTCTTTGACAATCCCCTGAGCTTCCATCACTCTACACAAGTCCAGGACTTCCCCATCAATAGGAGCAAGATGTACAAATAGGCCCAGCGATAATAGATGGCCATGGAGACTCTCAACACTCTCAGTCTCCATCCTGATAGCTTCAAGAACCGACGCGACCAGTTCCACCTGGTCTGCATCCGACAGCCGATCTGGCGCATTGCCCAGTCTCTCGTTGTGGTTAAACGCCGCAAGATTATACATAAAGGATGCGCCAGCTGCGCGAAGACTGACGTGTTGGGCAAGGAGGGAGAACGTGGCAATTTTTATGCATGTCTCGCGAAGGATGCTGTGGAATACTATTTGATCTAGATATAGTGGCGATGTGAAGAGGTTGCAAGCCAGCTGCGTCATCACGAGTTGTTGGCTGTAAGGGTATTTGGACAGATCGCTGGTTCCTCCAAGCAAAGTCAACAAAGAGTGGTGCGCGTCTTCCTCTGCGAAGAAACCACTGACGCGGGGGTCAGAAAATGCAGCGCGAACTAAATCGATTACCGCAAAATGAACGCCTTGCGGGAGGGAAAGGAATTTCGATTTGATGAAGTCTTGGAGCAATGAGAGGTTTGGGAGCGCAGGAACTGCTGGTCCACCGCTATCTCTTGACTTGATGAACTTGACCAAGTCCTGAAGGGAGGGTTCGTCACCTGCTGAGCCGAGTTTTTGGGTCAACTTATCTAGTGGGGGAGTCTTCTTGTAAAGCACGTAGGAGTCAACGGGGCGTTCTAAAGTCGGTAGCCTTAGTCGTCTGTGCGGATGAGGCGGCCAAGCCATGTCAATAAGAAGTCGGACATTTCCACGTAGTTCGCCTTCGTTTGCTCCACTCCATTCGTTTTCCTTCTTCCCTTTTAGAAATGTCATGAAAGTTGGCGTCGCCCTGATACCGTATTTTGCGGAGACATCGAAAGCGCGAGATATATCCACCTTGATAAGAATAGCTTTATTACCGGCTTCTTCGGCAAGTTCGTCGTACACTGGATACATTACTTTGCACGGCGGACATGTTGCAGATGTGAAAAATATCACTGCGCACGAGGAGTTTGCAGAGGCTAGGAGCTCCTCTACTTCTCGACTGGTTGTCACGTTACGAACATATCCTTCCTGGACAGGGTGCGAAGGCTTGGGATACCCAGAAATCGGCCTTGTAGCCCCATTTGCTCCAACGGTGGGAGGTTGGATTGCGGCAACAGGGTGAGGTCTCTCTGGGCCTCGAGTTGCTCCGCGAAGCATACCATCAATATATGGTCTCATCATTTGGCCAAAGGGTGTGCTAAGAAAGGTCTCAGGGAGATTTCTGATATGGTCAGGGATACCCTTTCCAACTAGAAATGTGGCGAGATCATGCGTAAAATTATTACAGTTGCGGAGGAAAAGATCGTAGGACTAGTGTGCATTTCCGATATAAGCGTTCGCCGTGCCTCAGATTGATTCGTGATACATGTAATTCATTTCAGATATTATGGAGGGGCAAAGTTGGGAGCGCACATACGTCTTCCGTGTAAACTGCCGCCAAAGATTCCATGTACTCAACTATCACTTCAATCGGAAGCTGAGAGGTGCCCATGTAGATCCGCTCAATGGGCTCCCCATGATGGGTTGTTCCAGGAGCCGCTTGTTGAATCCCTCTACCGAAGAAGTATTCCACTCCCCCGAATACTAGTGAAGTGTGATAAATCGCATCTATCTGGGTACCAGTGATAGCAAATGAAAGCTATCGAGAGTCATTAGTTGTTGGATATGAGAACTAGAGATGGTGCTCGGGTATACTGACTTGTCGAGCGAGGCCCTGGTGCATTTCTTGTCAGATGATGCTTTAACAACCAATGGTTGGGGGTATAGCCCACCTTGGAGATATCATAAATACACAACACAACGTCCATCTTCTCTCTGGGTAGGGCAATGCGATTGTATCCCGCAGTGCCAGCAGGAGAAGTGGTTTCAGGTGAATAGTAGTGGAGCAGTCCGGGTTTGGGACGATGATGTTTTAATTATATCCAGCGTGAAAGTGCTCAAAAACATTTCAAAAGCAAAGAATGGATATGTCTTCTTCGCATCTATGCAATATTTGAATATCCCAGGCTACCATCTTGCATGCGTCAACGTGCAAGCTCAGGGAATATGAGGGATCACAATTATCAATGCGTCCTGCGCCAAGCCCGACGTCACCACCAGCCGCAAAAAACTCCGGAGCTTGGATGAATATAGCCAACTCCGTCGTCTCCTTAACGCCATATTCCCTGTTGCGATTTTGATATATTGAATATGGTAAGTTATCAACAATTAGTATATTGATATCCTGTGTTATGTTAATTCCTAACTAACTAACCAACCAACCAACAACAACCAACCACCACAGCCACCAAAACGGTCCTCCACGGGTCACAAAGAGAAGCGAACACGTCAGTCTAAACTCGCCAAAGAGAACGGTATAACCGGCGATGAAGAAGCGGAAATCAAAGAAGCGTTCCATCTCTTCTCTACAAAAAGCGACGACTATCCTTCAGAGAAGGAAGGCGTAATTAAAACCCAAGATGTTCGGCACGCGATGATGTATGCCCATTCACGGACACTACCCCACACTTCTCCCATTCAGCCCACCATTATTTATGCAGTGCAATAATAAGCCTTCCTAACTCATAAAAATCAAAATGCACCCAGAGCCCTCGGCATCTCACCCACAGACCAAAAAGAACTAGCCTCCATCCTCTCCGCGGTCGACCCCACCGCCACCGGCTTTGTCCCGTACGAACCATTCCTCTCCGTCTGCGCGCTGAAGCTGCACTCTCGCGATGAAGACGCCATCTTTGCTGAAGTCGAGCATGCGTATAAACTGTTCACGCGCGGGACCGCGGGGCCCATATCTGTGGCGCATTTAAGGAGGGTGGCGAGGGATTTGAAGGAGGATGTCAGTGAGGAGCTGTTGAGGGACATGGTGAGAGAGGCCAACGGCGGGGATGGATTGCATGCCGGTGTCTCGTTGGAGCAGTTTAGGGAGGTCATGGTGAGGGCGGGGGTGTTTTGAGGACGAGATAGGGATCGGGAAGGGGGTTGGCGTTGGGATTCCTTTCCTTGGTTTCTTCCATTTGAACCGTGTATTCTTAAGATTTTCCCCAGCAAAGGCGTTCAGGATGATATCAATGATATTTGGATTGCACAGCAAACATCCATAAATAGGGTAATTAGCAATATATGAATTAGCTGGTAGGTAGGGCATACAAGGACATTGTACAGGACAACTCTACCCACCCTCTGCAAAACCAACATAACCCGTGGGTGTTTCATGCAATGTAAAGTAAGAACTCAACTGGGCACATATCTAGCTGGGAACATCCATTTCACATCCATCCAGCTAGAAATCCTCCCAAAAGTAGGAAAAGAA